CAATAGCAAGGAAACCGAAAATGGAATTTGGTTATAATGTTTAAATATTTTTTTAAATGTTTATGAATTGTTTTCGGAAGAAACTGTAGCACAGACTATTTTCTTTGGAATATATTACTAACAGCAAGATTATACTCCAGACTATAGTCTATACCGGACTATAGACGAGACTATAATTCAGACTATAGATGAGACTATAATTCAGACTATAGACGAAACTATAGTTCAATAATATAAACGAGACTATAGTCCAGATATTACTATAGTCTAGACTATATTACTATAGTCTAGACTATAGATATTACTATAGTCTAGACTATATACATGACTATAGTTTTGACTTTAGTCTGGTCTATATTCCGGACTATAGGCATGACTTTAGTCCAGATTATAGACATGTCTATACTCCAAACTATAGACATGGCTATAGTCCAGATTATATAAATGATTATAGTTCAGACTATAGACATGACTATAGACATGACTATAGACAGGACTAAAGACATAACTATAGTCTAGGCTATAGTCCAGACTATAGAATATAGTCCAAACTATAGATGAGACTATAGTCCAGACTTTAAACGAGACTACTCCAGCCTATAGAAAAGACTTTAGTCCACACTATAGACTATACTATAGTCCAGAACATAGACGAGACTATAGACAAGATTATAGTCCATACTATAGACAAGATTGTAGTCCAATATAGTCCAGAGTATAAAATAGACTATAATTTAGACTATAGGCACGACAATAAACCAGGCTATAGACAAGACCATAATGCAGACTATAGACGAGACTATAGACGAGACCATAGACGAGACTATAGACGAGACCATAGACGAGACTATAGACGAGACTATAGTCCAGACTATAGACTAGACTATGGTCCAGACTATAGACTAGACTATAGTCCAGACTATAGACAAGGCTATAGTCCAGACTATAGAATAGACTATAGTCCAGGCTATATGACTATATATAGTCCATACTATAGACGAGACTATAGTCCAGACTATAGACATGACTATAGTCTAGACTATAGGCGAGACTATAGTCTAGACTATAGTCGTGTTTATACTATAGACAAGACTTAAGACATAACTATAGTCTAGACAGTAGACGAGACTATAGTCCCGATTATAGACGAGAATATGTTCCAGACTATAGACTAGACTATAGAATATAGTCCAAACTATAGATGAGACTATAGTCCAGACTATAAACGAGACTAGTCCAGCCTATAGAAAAGACTTTAGTCCAGACTATAGATGAGACTATACTCCAGAACATAGACGAGACTATAATCCGGACTATAGACAAGATTATAGTCCAATATAATCCAGAGTATAGAATAGACTATAATCCAGACTATAGGCAATACAATAAACCAGGCTATAGACAAGACCATAATCCAGACTATAGACGAGACTATAGTCTAGACTATAGACGAGACTATAGTCCTGACTATATATATGTCTATGACAATATATAGTCCAGACTATAGACAAGACTATAGTCCAGACTATAGACATGACTATAGTCATATAGACATGACTATAGTCTAGCCTATAGACATGACTATAATCTAGACTATAGTCATGTTTATAGTATGAAATATAGAGGAGGCTATAGAATTGACTATAGACGAGACTATAGTCAAGACTATAAACGATACTATAGTCCAGACTATAAACGATACTATACTTATAAACGAGACTTTAGTCCTGACTGTAGACGATACTATATTCCATACTATATATGAGACTATGGTCCAGACTATGGACTATAGTCATGTATGTAGTCTGAAATATAGATGAGGCTATTGTGAAGACTAAGGTTGAGGCTGTTGCTCAGGCTATAGTCCAGACTATATATAAGGTTATTCTTCATACTATACACTAAACTATAGTTCACGCTAAAGACGAGACTATAGTCCAGACTATAGACGAGATTATAGTCCAGACTATAGTCCAGTCTAAAGATGTGTCTATTGTTTAGGCTCTAGTTGACTCGGCTGTCGGTTTCCTCGAATTATCCTGTTATTACTACCGGCAACCTATATATACCCACCTATTTCAGGTTATAAGTTATCTAGTGCGGTTCTCATTGTATTTGCTGAGGAAGTCGATTAAGAATTCATGTTGGACTTTTTCTCAACAGAAATATTCACAATTATGTGATTTGGAATGTGAGAAAAACATTTTTTACAATATATTTCTGTTGTCTCTGTGTTTTTGTGATTTGCTTGATATTCTCTTTCTGATAAAAAAAGTCAATTACATAAAGGATTGTATCCATGAGATACTTATCATTACAACGATAAACTCTGGCCTATCTTATAAATAAATGCTTTTATGGCATTTATTTAAAATTCTTTAAGCAAAACCTATCTCTCTGTGACCTTTTTATGTCATTACAATGAAATTATTGTTGTGAGTGTAAAGGATTTTATTTAAATACTCCTAGTTACAGTAACAAAATGCGTTGTTATTATGTATGCAAACCGCAAGCAAAATTTTAAATAATGTAGGAAAAGTTTATCTTGGTGTTTTATATGAAATGTAGGCATTTACACCCTACATTCATTCACAAAATCATAAATGATAAGAACGTAGTTTCTAAGGAAAACACAAACCTTAGGGAGAATTTAAACAAATATTGTTTTAATTCGATTGACATTTAAATAAATTACGCGAAATTATTATTTAGCTTAATGGGAATGAACACATATATCATCATTCATGTTATTTGTATCTAAGTCATGTATTAAAATTATTAGTTAACGATGTTATTTGTAATTTTTGTAACTTGTAATAGGATAATTTTACATAAGAAATGTTTTATGTAGAATTACATTGTAGCATGTCCTTTGTTAAGTGTTGGCCGTGATTCTTTTTTTACGGATTCTATTTGGTTTATTTAAAAAGGGTGTGGTTTCGTGGTTTTGTGTGTAAACAAAATATATTTTTTATTTGCTCAAAACATGTCATTGTAACAACCAAACCTCAGTAGAGTGAATATTAAAGTAAATGTCTTTTTTGTGCTAATTTATAAAATATTGCTTGAGTTCTGTAAAATAAACTTTTTTTGTGTAAATCTTTTATATAAATCTACTTATTTAAGTGGTCTCACGCTTTTAACAAAACCATTTGTAGCGTTTTTAATTCGGTGGGAATGTTTAAATTTCTTTACAACACATGTTTCAGCTAATAGATCTTAAGATTAAGGATATCTTCAGGAATTGTACAGGGTTTTGAGTAACAAGTAAGTGTAAGAAATATGAATGTCATGGGTAAGTACTTACCACTCAAGCTTACAAATAGGCAGTTAATTAAGTACTTGCTACGATTGTTTGCTAATAAGGAGTTAAGTAAGTAGTTTTGTTCTGGAATGGTAGGATACGCCCATTGTGCCTACTATTAATAAAATTTTTCTGTTTGTGCAAAAAAAAAAATATATTCGAAAACAAAATATCAATGCTACAAGCACTTACATATACAGCTATTTGTAAGTAATTACTAGAGTAAGTAATTACTAGAGTTCTTCTTTAATCATTAATCATATACAAAAAGATTGCATGTTCTTAGGTTATCCTAGAACGGGGTAGAACATTATAGAACAACATCGGATGCTAAATGTAATATATGTATGTAACGAGTAATTACGATAAGCCCAAGAGCAAGAAATCGTATGTGATAGCAGGGCTTTACAGCCGAATTAATGACAAAGTCGAATGCTCTGTATTTAATAGGACCAGTAGATTATAATCTATTATGAGCTTCTGAAATAGATAGATAGATAGATAGATAGATAGATAGATAGATAGATAGATAGATAGATAGATAGATAGATAGATAGATAGATAGATAGATAGATAGATAGATAGATAGATAGATAGATAGATAGATAGATAGATAGATAGATAGATAGATAGATAGATAGATAGATAGATAGATAGATAGATAGATAGATAGATAGATAGATAGATAGATAGATAGATAGATAGATAGATAGATAGATAGATAGATAGATAGATAGATAGATAGATAGATAGATAGATAGATAGATAGATAGATAGATAGATAGATAGATAGATAGATAGATAGATAGATAGATAGATAGATAGATAGATAGATAGATAGATAGATAGATAGATAGATAGATAGATAGATAGATAGATAGATAGATAGATAGATAGATAGATAGATAGATAGATAGATAGATAGATAGATAGATAGATAATTAGGTAGATATTTTCATGACACCACATAGACTTCTTCTTAGCAGTCAAGAACGCCGGATCTCTAACTTCAGTGACCTATTATACCAAAGAGAGTTATTAAACGCCACCAGACTTTTTAGCATTTTCATTAAGCAGTTTGGAGGTAAACATCAACAACTCTTTGGCAAGGTTCTCGTAAAGGTTTAAATCCTTACGACTGGAAGATGCAGTCTGAGCTTTCGGGCGAATGTAACCAATCTTATTTAGTCAGTATGTGGATTCCGGTTTGTTAGCGCCGACTATCAAACCTAGAGTACTCGTCTGATTAGTCATGGCCACAGTTTTGATAAAAATATACATAAATCAGTATTACTCTGAATTATATATATATAATATTCCAGAGTATTAGAGAATAGATGCCACTTAATTAGATTCTTAATATAGCAATCAAGAAAGAGGTCTGGACAGACTCTGTGACTTCTTCGCCGATTGAGAGGACTCAAATTAAATAATTTAAAACATAAGTTTTGTGCTACCTTAATATTACTTATAGATTAAGTAGCTAATTAATACATTACACTATCATACTACATTTTTATTCAAAGTTCAACATCATTCGAAGCAATCATCAGATAAAAACACTCTGCTACAACCATTTGATTATTTAATGATATCATCATTAGTTAATGATTTCTCACTCACCATCACACTTATTTTCACATAAAATTTGAAATCATAAAACAAATACAAAAGAATATTGTATAAATTAACTCACCGTTTAAAAGCTTTTTCCAAAATTTGTTTCTCACTGGCGGAACTTGCAACCAAAATAACAGTTTCCGGTGATGATACAGAGTTTTTCTTTTTTTGCTTGCCAACATTGCCACCACCATCAACCTTTAGTGATTTTGATGGTGCTGCCAAAGCACCAGCACCAGCAGCTGCTGCTGTTAATGATAATGATGCTGACAACGATGATGCCGAGTGAGAGGTGGAAGATGAGGAGGAAGAGGATGACGACAAAGCCTTTTTAGTGTCTATATCTGATGCTGGCACAACCTTATTTCCTGTTGCATGCTGAGCTCGCCATTTTTCACTCCATTCTAGGGAATAATGTTGCATGAAATTCTGCTGCTGCGGCTGATGCTGTTGTGTATTTGGGGGATTTTTAAGTGAATGTTGCAATTTATATGTGGTCGAGTGAAGTATCAGACCAATGAAAAACATATAAAACACAATGGCAAACACGGTAGACCACCGTAGCCAACGTAATTTCTTACTTAATTTATTTAACAATGACATGTTGCTATTTTCTGCCTTTTAATTTGCCGTTGCTGCGTAAATGTGTGTTGTTTGTTAATCAGGAATATGAGGGTCTGGTCATACACACCGTCGTACATAAAGATACGAATTTATTGCTTTTATTGTCTGGTTCTGCACAATTTGGTGCCGTTGCGGTTGTTGATTTATATTCTTAACAAAACTTTCCGTTAAACACCTGTTCTTTTTAGTACGTTTTATCGTCATGCAACTGTTCACTTTGTAACCGTTGTGTGGCTTTTTAAGATGCTGTTGATTGGGTTGATGCCACAGTTAGTGTTTTGAATTATTCGAATCTAAAAGTGAAAAAATGTAAATTTTGAGTTGAAATGAGTAATTTGCGTAAACATTCATTTTATAAAACGGTAAGTTCGCGGGAACACTCGGAAAACATTTGGCCTCCAGTGTTCCCACTTAACAGACTTGTACCGATTATTCTTCGTCTAATACCGTTGATTTGGTAGGTCATACGATGTAAAATGCGTCCAGTATAATGTTCCGTAAATATGTCTATAAAATGTCTTAAAGAATTTTTATCATGAGCCAAGTCCTTTTTCTTGAAAGGCAACATTTTGGATATTCTGTAAATGATACTAGTAGAGCTATTCAGGTCCGATTTTTCTGTGGACCAGTATATATCAAATATGAATATACATTTGAGAAATAGTTTTGCAAGAGGAAAGTCCGTTAATTGTGCATTCGTTTGTAATTTCATTTGCCCGAATAGGTAGTAGTCCGAGCAATAACGGAATGTATAAATTGGATTAAAATAAATATGACAGCCAGAAGGCAATTAGGGCGATATAAGATGAAAAAGTTAAATCTAAGACTATATTGGATTGTAAAAAAAGCTCTAACCGAATACTCTCACAGAGGTAAGGTTTACATCATATGGGTACCAGGCCCAAAGGGAAGGGAGTTCGAATATAGTTAAACTGACGAACGCAAAAGCACTTGACACGAGGGCAGAATTAAAAATATGAGTGGGAGAATCCCATAAGGCCTCTTGGAATAATAAAACGATGGATAGAACAATAAAGATCTTTTGGAATGACCCTAACGAGAGCAGGACAAGAAGCCTCCTCAAAATGAAGAAGTCTGAGATTAGTATGATAGAACGTTTTCTAGGTGGATACACAGGATTACGGGCACAGCTATACAAAAATAGCCGTGCGGATTCTGACGAATGTAAAGCATGTGGAGAGAACAATGAAACTCTGGAGCCCTTTATTTGCCATTGTCAGGCTTTCGCCGAAATTAGATACAATTATCTTGGAAACACTAATTGGAAAATTCGTAAGAATTACCTCCAGGCCCGATAGTGGCATAAATGTATTTGATGTGGATAAATGCTTCTATGAACCTAACCCCACCTAAGAAGGAAGAGAATGCAGTTGACCTTATCACATTCGAAGCGAGAACCTTGAGAGCTTCAAGACAGTTTATGTAGATGACAATGATCGACAACTTGATATTTTACTATATGGATAAGCATTAGACAATATGATGGAAACCAAGCTCATCGGGTCCACGTGACCCTTTCAGTCTGGTGTCGAAGCCAGGTATGGCTAGCAGTAAAAAGTCGTTTGATGTGTTGAGCTAATAGCGCCTGCAATCGACTGGTATATTTCGTTTCCACCACCTTACATCAGACTAGTGAGCCATAAGTACTCTGAACAAGAATAAGTCTTATGTCTGATGTGTACATTCAGTGCAGAATTTAAAGTTTAAGGTCCTATTTCTGATTCAGAAGGTCCTATCAAAACATGGTATCTGCAATATGATGGAATCCATCTGCTGACGCAAATTCTGTATTTCCATCAAGCTAGTACTACAGAGTAACTTATTCAAAATGGATAAACCGCTTTCCACCAGACTAGTTAGCCAAAGATACCACGAATCTGAATAAGTCTTATATTCACTGTGTACATTTAGAGCAGAATGCAAGGTTTAAGACATCATATCTTTCCAAATGGGTTTCTGCATTAATAGAAGGCGTGTTACTCATGCACGTAGGATCTTTTGAAAACTCCAAAGCCGCAGATTTTATTGCAATAATAGAAGCCGCCTTTCCCATATACGTAGCACCCTTTGGAAATTCCAAACCTTCCAATAGAGTTGATCTTAATTCTGTATCTTAACTCTTTATCCAATGTGAAATCAGGGAATTGCGCATTTGTTGAATGAGTGAGTTTTAGAAGAAATGAAAAAGATCGACTCGATAGATCTTAGTAAATCGAGTTAATCTTCATTTTGTACAGAATGATGCAGAATTGTATTATCAATCGTGTTGACGATGTCAATTTACCTTTAAGGATCTGGGATCCTATCCACCCCTTATATTTTAAACTGAGGGATTCATCTTAATTTCATAAAGATTTTCGAACAATATAAATTCGGCAATCTTATTAACAACCAACATGTCAATGGCCGCAAAGCCTAAGACCAAAGATTGGACCCTTAAGTTCGTTTCATGATAAACCATTAACAATGTCTTAGAAAATTTATATATCAAGCTTTGACTGCTAATTCGAATAACCGGTTGTTCTAATTTTCTGCTAATTAACTTTTTGCAGTTTTTGTTTTTCTTTTCCTTTACATTCGTAGCAAACGAAACTTTTAGCTGTTTCATTTCTCTGTTTTACTTTGCGTGTTTGTATTCAAATGTTGTCTTCTTTTGTTATTCTTCCTGACAAGGATAATGAATGCCACTATTCCCTGTTGCTGTTTTTCATTGCAGTGCTGCCATTTTAGCTTATTTTACTACTAGATGGAATTGTATTTTTTATATAAAAGTACTTTCTTAGTTGGAAGTTTTTGCCTAACATTCTTATCAGTAGTTCTTTGAAAGGCGACTTAGGGGATTCGGAAGCTTGGTCCTTGGGTGTTCGTCCAGAAGTTATGTATCTCCAATTGAGAATGTTTTTGTTTGGTCTGTTTTTTCTATACGAAGAATTTGTCGTCCTTCGATATTGTTTCAGTAGGTTTCTTGGTTGGTCGATATATCTTTGGCTTCTGGTATTTGGTTTCGAAACTCTGGCAACTCTTATTAACAGCATCCTCGGTGTAGTTGTTAATTGTTGACGTAAATACTTTACTTTCATGCATTTGTGCACACATTGTTTGTTGTTGTCGTTGTTTCTGTCATTATTTTGTGCTGGTATTCTGTGTTGTTGTGTTGTGACGTCTTGTAGACTTATTTTGTACTCCCTTTTTCTTTTCCGTTAAAGCTTTTCTGTTTATTTATTTCATATCCTATTCTTAGGACATGTCCGGACAGCAAGAAGACTAACTTTCACACTGACTTTTAATGCTAGAGTAAGTATGTAGGTTTATATGTATGTAAGTAGGTAAGTATAAATAGTAGTTTTGTACAAGTATTTTTTGTTAAATTTAAGCCTGCGTCTGTCAGTATGTTGTAACTGACTGTCTCACATTTTATTTTTAAACAGAGTTTAACAGTTACAGCAGGAAAAAATGGAGAAAATAAACACAAGATGTAAAGAAGTAAAAGGAATATTTTAAAAACTTTTGTTTAAAAGTGGCAAAACAATGCATTTGAACTTTATCTTTGCATTTTTTAGAACAGTGGTTGAATACAATATGAGATTTTGAAATGGTCATGGAATTTGGTACAATGATTTACTAATTTATGAGATTTTTGCCGAGTTATGTAAATATATTTAAGTGAACAAGGTTCTGTCCACTCATATTTTACATATGTTGATGATAAGGATATTACTAAAGAAATTTCTACTAAGGACAACGGGAAAGAAGTAAAACAGGGAGCCACCCTTACGGATGGTTCAACGAAAATGGAAAATGCGGTGGTATTTCTTCTAAGGTAGTCAGCAGTTGTATCAAAGAGTTACAGGTTCTCAACAAATAATAATAAACAAGAAAACGAAATCGCAGAGGAACTAGCGAGAGCGGGAACATACATATATGGACATGTCAGGAAGTTTTTCCTGCACAAATTTATGATCAATTTGAATATACTCCTACAGAATTTATCAATGTGCAATCAAGAGTACTTTGGAAACTAGAAGATAAAAGCACTTTGAATAAAGTTAAGGCTATAAGATTGTGGACCATGTAATCGCTTCAAAGGGCAAACAATCAATAATAAGCGTGAGCTATGAGTTCAACATGGGCATGATGTTGATGAGGTTTTCATCTCACTAATGTGCTGGCACCCTGAAGAACTTGGTGGAAACATAATCCCTGACCTGATCGCAGCTAAGCTGGAACTGCCAAAGTTCATTGTCCACATAAAAGGGAGGGAATAGTAAACTTTCTTTTGAGCATATATTGGAAAATCTAGGAAGCCAAAATGCTGAGCTGGTCTTGAAAAAAGGGATGTCTTTCAAAACTAAAAACAACCTGGTGGAACTCTACATGTAAAAGATATCGACCAAAACTCCACGGCTAGTCTTGACAAGAACAAAGGTAGGGCTTATTTCGCCTCTAAAGATGACATCTTCAAAATAGACAAGGTTCTTATTTGAAGTCCTGTTACAACAATCCCCGACACAAGGACACTAAAATACCTAAGACGGTGTTCATAGCATCACTAGCCACTACTGATAACGTTGAGGTGTCAAATCCTAAAAGCGGGAGAGATTACCACTAACTCTCCAGACAAAAAAATGCAGCTGCCCTTTCCGCAATTGGGAGGGCGCCGATTGGAAGGGCTGTTACAACAAGCTCCGACCAGGACACTAAAATACTTACTATAATTAACCACTACTTGCAGAGTCAAATCCTAAAAGCGAGGAGGAAATCATTTACTCGCCAGAGCAGCGGTTCTTTCCAAAATTATGAAGGTGTCAATTAAAAGGACTGCTATCTTAGGCCTAATACGGACACTACATCTATAGCCACTTTAGGCTACTCGGAGGAGTCAAATCCTAAGCACGAAGAAGTGATCTCCAATTCACTAGAAGACAGTTCAATGGATGACTATGATTAAGGTAATCCAAATAAACCTCCATCGAAGTGAGACGACTATCAATACACTAATGGCTAAAATAAACATAGAAAATATATATATATCCAGGAACCAAGGATGATTTGAAACAAGTTTCTGGATTAAAGGCTAATCTCTAGATAAGAAGATTTAATTGGACTTTGTCACATCAAAACCTCGATTTGTTGAGAGATTAATGAGTTTCGAAGTTTCATTATTTTCATTAAATTCTGAGTGTGTTTTCCCGGGATTATTGCAGTTTTTCACTTTCCCGCAGGAACCAGACGGAGGAAAGACATTTTTCATAGTTAAGTCACAGTAGTGGACGAAGACAAGCTTCCAAATTCAGAAGTGAAAGTAATCCAAGTGAACCTTCACAATTCTTAAGCAGCTACAGTGGCATTTCTCCTACATCCTCATGATTGAGGAGCAGATATATAGATCCATAATGGTAAAATCTGTGTATTAAATGCAACTGGAGATACACTACTCTCCTGAATGGTACAGAATAAGCAAATTTTGATTTACGCTGAATACTTGGCTTCTTCTTCATTACGAAACCCGAACATTATCACAAGTTCAGCCAAGTCTATAACCGCAATGTATGAATGCCAAAAATAGGGGCATAATACCAAAACTTTTTAACTGGATTTTGTGTGCCGTGATTAGACAATTCATTTCAACTGGTTAACCAGAATTCAACTGGGAAATTTGGTATCAGGAAAACTTCTTTGTTTCCCGGTGGGTTAGTATTCTAGTCTGTTAGAACAGAGATCGTGTATTCGATCCCAGCAAAGACATTATTGATACAGGAATTTCGGACATCTTTAAACCGGATGGCGATCCGTTCAACAGTTGTATAAATATTGGATACGAGAATTGCATTAGGAACACTTTGATGGTGAAGTGGCTTATACAGACGCTTTGATGTCCGAAATTCCGAAGTTGAAATATGAACTTCTTTGTACCATAACTAGATAAATATTGCCACTAGATGGAGATTGAACCGCATATTTTCTAAAGCTTAGTGTGTCTCAGATATAAGAAATATGATTGCTGTTATTACAGGACATTGTAGATATGACTTCTGCAGACGTTTTCATAATGAAGAGGAATCAAATGGCTAACCGACCTGAAATGTGGAATATTCATTTTAAGTTCATAGGAAAGCCATTATTTGATGACATGTTAGAGCTTCCCACGCCTTTAACAGACACTGCAATTTGTTTGGAATAAGGTTGTCAATGCATTATTTTTTCAGAAATCTCGTGAATTTAGAATAAATCTAGGAATTTCATTTGAAGAAGTCCTAAGATTAGGAATTTGAAAATAATGAAGATTTTGTGATTTTCTGGAATTAGGATTTCCCGTTTGGAAATAGTAACTTTTTATTGCCCCTGACTCTCTCTTCTTTTTTAACTTTCTTCCTGTTTCTATTTCTTTTCAGATACAACAAAGGCGTTTATAATTGCATCCTATAAGACGTCATCTAAAACTTTTGTCTGCATCGAAGTGAAGAAGTTTCCATTTCCAGTATGATTACCTACACATATGTGCTCTTTCATTGTCACCTCTACTTCATGCTTTTTATGATGTTAACTTAACATTAAGTGATAAGGAGATCCTAGTACCAAGAACCTCTACTTCATGCTTTTTATGATGTTAACTTAACATTAAGTGAGTAAGTGCTCGTTCATTGTCACCATACGAAGTTAATAAAGGGTAAATGTGACGAAATGATAAGGAGATCCTAGTACCAAGAACCTCTACTTCATGCTTTTTATGATGTTAACTTAACATTAAGTGAGTATCTGCTCGTTCATTGTCACCATACGAAGTTTATAAAGGGTAAATGTGACAAAATGATAAGAAGATCCTAGTACCAAGAGTTCCAAGAACCTCTACTTTATGCTTTTTATGATTTTAACATTGTTAAGTGAAACATTATCGGGAATTCTGGAGTCAAATAATAAGAAGGCTCAAAAACTTTACTTGCTGCTAAACCACTGTGCCATATTTATGAGACACACTGAAAAAAAGATTAAAGTTGTATTTTTACTCTACAACTGGATAATAATGACGTTTATTCTCAGTTTGTGCGGTATTGTTGTTATTTGTTGTTGCTTTTGTTACTGTTCACGTTTAACCCAGTTGTTGAACAAGTTAAATTACTTGTTTTTTTTTTTTTTTTGTTATTCCTCTACGTCTTCTTATTCGTTTTGTTATTGCTACTTCTTATATATTTAAACCAGTCCAACATAAATTTATTTTTAACATCAAACAACTTTTGCCATTTGGCTTAAACTAAGAAAAAAAAAAAAACAAAATCACAAAGAGCACAAACACCAACAATAACAAAAAAAATGTCTTCGATTACGTCTTTTGATCTCTATTGTTGTAGTTGTTGGCTATATGAATGTCTAACTTCAGTATATTGTTGTCATTGTTGAGTTGTTGTGACTGCAAGACAGATAGACAGACTGTCATACTGGTTTTTACACATACACACATTAAAATAGAAAATGTTGTTGACATTACTTGGTGATTGCATCAATTTCTTTGATTATTTTTGTCTTTATTTGTTTCTTTTACTATTTTTGCCGCTTTTGCTTGATTTTCTTTTTTCAAGCGTGACCATCATCCTCAACTCGTTCTTAACATCGAAAGTCATTCACACTGTTTTTCTTTGTTGTTATTTTTTTCAACTTTTACTTTCATTAATTGTAATTGTTGTTACATCAAGTACAATGAATGACTCACTAATATACAAACATAGATAGATACTTACACAGTGGCTTGGTTGAGTTGCTCTTTCGTTTCTCTCTTGTCTACTTTGTTATTGTTGTAATGAAATATGCTAATGATAATTAACTTTTGTTTTTTTTCTCGCTTTTGCTGTAGTTGTAGTTGCTGTTGTGTTTTTAATTGTTGTTCAATCGCCAGTATTGGTTTGGATTTAAAAGTTGAACTTTTTTTTTTTATTTATTAAATGCCATAATATCACAGTGTTTAATTCCAAACTGTAAATTAAAATAAAATACATTAAATATTAGTTAATTTAACAGCCCAATTATTTAGAAAATTAGTGCCATATTTATAGTTTATGGATTAAAACTAACATATGTTTGAAATTTAAATATTTTTTTATCCTAAACAAATACAATTTGATCTTTTTATAAGTTTTTGCCAAATATGTTAAACTTAAGTTCAACTACAATTTATGGAAAATTAAATTGTAAATTTAGTTCAAATTTTGTTTTAAAATTAGTAACATAAACAAATTTGTTTTTTATGTTTATTATTAGGGCGATTGAAAAATCCTGGTATGCATATAAAGTGATAAGACTTTGGGGTTTTCACATTATTTATTGCGCTCTCCTGAAGTGAAAATTTTATTTTTTTTAAGTCCTCATGAAAGTTAAGAATGACAAGTAATGGAGATGTTATAACAACTCGACAGACATCTTTGTTTATAAAATTTGTCCATTAAGGAAAGGTTTTCAAACTGAAAGATGCAATATCTCGAAAACCCGGTCTTCGGTTTAGAACTTTATTGGTCTGAATTAGTCCTTTGCACAGTGGTGGAAATTAATGATCTGACGACATAAAATTCTAGTTTTCAAACTTCGAAATCCGTAAATGTTTTTTATATTATGGATTACCGATTATTCCACTGTTAAAATTGATGCTTTCAATGTGGCTTTATCTTTAATATTGTATTGTTGTATTGTAAAGTTCCCCAGTCAAGGAACACAACGTCATGTTAACTAAACAATTCCTTCTATAATGTCATCGGGGGAGTCATCCCAACTTTAACATTATACAGTTGAATACTCCCCCGGGGCATGTCAGGAAGGATCTTCGTATATACGAGGAGAACATACACTCTTATATGCAGTCCTCGTATACGGCGGATTTGAAAAACATTCATAGAGACATCATCAATTCCAAGGTCGTAGGATACCGCATGAATGTCATACTTGGAGGCCGCACAACGCCCACAACCATAGACTCAGAAGAAAATCTGAAGCTGAAAACAAGGGTAGTTCTGGCTCAACTATGATCAGAATGGAGCAACAGGCTTAATTCCTACTTGTCACGTTTTTTCAATGAGTATCCCGGACAAAAGAGAAGTATATGCTGTAAGGTATCTTATACAAGTGATACCATTGAATTTTCTTTCATTGTCCTGGTATGTTCAGTGTTTACTTTGTTCATATCAAATTTACCACAGTATGTTTTCTGTAAGTAAGAACAACTCCTCGGCTTATTAAATTGATTCGTATTTCGGTCTGCCGATGACGTCTCTAGGTGCTGTTGACGACTCAACAGAGGCCGTCTGCGTAATTCTTAACAGAAGTGATGTTTTTGCATCTCGGAAGTTATGCAACGGGTCAGCAATGGTCAGAGATTAGGTAGCTCGAGTACTTGAGCAAAGTGCTTGCACATGAACCGGCAGAACCATATACAAAAATTAATACCGGCGTGTAAGATATACAAAGGAGCGGCAATGAGACGTCAAAAAGTTCACCCTGTGGATGAAAAAAACCACCGTGAAATTAAGCCTTCAAAGCAGGTGTTGAGGTAAAGCATGTTTAAGTGCTACGAAGGACTAAATCACTAATATTATGGTTCAGCCAAAGTTTGCATATAATCAATGCGAACGGATTATAAACAGTGAAATCTGTTTTCTATACGAGTTTTGCAAGACACATCTCAAATAGATCATATATAGACAAAGTTCTCTACTTTAGGGAAAATGTCGTAATGATTTGTATATGTATGGATCAAAATCGAAGGAAAGATTAAGGAATGAATGTACAGCCGACAATAAGGCTACCAGATCACAGTATCATTATCTAGTGTGCATTAATGGCAATCAAAAACAGCTGCAGAATAGATTTAGTATCATAAGATATTGGGCAGGACCTACATTGAACCCCCACATCGTCATACGTACGGCGGCTTTTATATGACTAAGACTATGTATTCCAAGCGGATTAGCCAAATCCCTGGTACAGGGATATAGCTATAACCATAACACCAGGATTATGAAAGCTGAAGGCTCTAAAATATGCTATAATGTTGAATCTGGTGTTTACTTTTAGCATTTTTCTTGGGAAAGTATTTCTGAAAATATATATCATATATTTAAGCCGATATTTCCTATATGAAGAAAAAATTCACCCTAATATACTTACATACGATATTTTAATTAAAAAGTTCTTTATCTTTTGATCTAAATATATAAATTTGTCACATATAATATTTAGTTAGTCATACATTTGTATCTTTTCTGTACTACGTTTAGTTAAATATACATTTTTATTTGTATTTGTCCCCAGGAGATTTTACAAATTCAAGGGATTTCTTGACACAGAATATCAGTTTTTTTTATGTATTTGTATCTTCAAACAAGCACAACCATAGCAACTTGGACACCATTCATGTGAATACATTCGAATGCCAATTAAAAGTTTATCTTGAAAATAAAATACATTCATGCATTCAGATACATATATTTTAAATTCACAAAAACAAACAGTTTTAATTTTAAATTTGCAACAAAAAAGGTTGAAGGACAAAGTGTATATTTAAATTGGTCGAGAAATTCTTGTTGGTGAAGAAATGAAATGATTTGCATTAAATCATCAAAATCATAATATCGAAACTGGAAGGAATTTCAAGATGTCGATGGCTGATTATCTTAGTATCAATGTAATACGGTCAAAATGTCTTTTACATTTCAGCTCAAACCACACCATGTTCCAAACAAGTAAGAAATTATAGTCGGGCGAGGCCGACCATATAATACCCTACATCTTTGTCAAAATATAATGTGATTTAGTTGCCATAATAAAGCATTTAAGTTGAATTGTACATTGCCTTAGATATACATACTTAAGCCGTTTATTGTTGAATAAAATTGTGGACATTTAAGTGAAATTTTGATGGAGGCTTTTCATAGGGGCTGGGGTCATATGAGAACCTATTATTATGGAATTCATAAGGGTCATCAAGTCTTGTATACAACTTGGTTTTTGAAGCTTTTTGTCGAGATATGAGTATATTAAACATAATTATGAACTAAAAAGTTCTATTCGGCGGGTTCAGTTGTATGGGGGCTAGGTGAAATAATAGACCATTTTCAAGAGGCTTCGTCTACGGTATCATAAAAGATCATGTGCCAAATTTCATTGAATTATCTCCAAAATTGCGACCTGTAGTTTGATTACAAGGTTTAAAAGCCCTATTCGGGGGTTCAGTTGTATGGGGGCTAGGTGAAATAATGGACCGATGTAAACCATTTTCAATAGGCTTCGTCTACAATACCATAAAATATCATGTGCCAAATTTCATTGAATTATCTCCAAAATTGCGACCTGTAGTTTGATTACAAGGATTACAAGCCCTATTGGGGGGTTCAGTTGTATGGGGGCTAGGTGAAATAATGGACCGATCTTAACCATTTTCAATAGGCTTCGTCCCTGGGACAATAGAAGATCATGTACCAAATTTCATTGAATTATCTTCAAAATTGCGACCTGTAGTTTGATTACAAGGTTTACATGGACGGACGGACAGACGGACGGACATAGCTAAATCGACTCAGAAAATGATTCTGAGCCGATTGATATACTTTAAGGTCGGTATAGGACCAATATTATTGTGCGTTACAAACAACAGCACAAACCCAATATACCCTCCCCACTAAAGTGGTGTAGGGTATAAAAACACTATCAGCCCTTAACTATTAAAAACTAATAACAAACATCATATTAATTACACTCAGTTCTATTTTATTTTCAGCTTTAAACAGAAAATGTGGGTTACTTTTGTGGAAGAGAAAAAAACTATTATTTTTTTGCCCATTTCACACCCCCCAACAAAAAATTCATACATTATTCATTTTAACAGTTTTCATCAAAACTAAATTTGATATCCATGTGGACAACCAACTATGACCATTTTAATGCAACCATTGATGCAAGTGTAATACTCTCATACATTCACATTCACTGCCACACATGGCAGACTTTTATGCCAACAACATACAATATTTTTTATGTTGCAGAAAAATGAAAAACCAAAAAAAAAAAATTTTTAAATTCCGATCTTGTTTACAGTTGTAAAACAAAAAATAATAATGTTGCAATTTTTAATATAGTTTTTTTTTCTCACTACTTTTTGTTTTGACACAAAACTGCCTTCCCATACAATTGTATTGTAGTTTATATTGTTTTTATACCCTACAGCGCTACGTCGAGAGGGTATTATGTGTTCGTGTTAGCATTTTTAACACTTTTAAATTTTAGTTATACGTACATCAATCTTTTTATGTTGTAATCAAACATCGGATCGGAAATTAAAGAAAAAAAAAAAACTTTTAACATTTTATTAAAGTACGAAACCAAAGAGAGACTTCTTCCGAAGTTTATAAATATTGTTTTACAATCAGTATTGGAACAGGTCTCTGGCAAAAAGTACGATGTCTTAGAGATATTTACTTACAATTAACGATAAGGTTAACCTTCTCTTATTGATAAGGACAAGGGGGTCCCCACGTGATATTAAAAATAATATGGAGGAGAAGTCAAAGAAATTTTAAATTATTTGGATAAGATGCTTCATTATGGCTGTCAAGCAGCGCAATATATTACTAATATCTTGTAGTAGAGTCATTAGAATTAGTCTTTTTCGACATGTCCTCGTAGAGTATCCTCCAAAGGCCTATACATGTAAGTAGAATGATGAATGGGGGGAAACGGACAATACTTAGATTGCGGACAGCATCTTATGGATATTCATGAGCATGAAGAATAGGTACTAACACCTTTGAATGTGTATGTTGTATGGAGTATAAAGTTGTCATTGCGAACTTGGAGGATTTGGCTCCACTCTCAGGCGAGCTGGTCTTATTGAAGAGGCTAAAAGGAAACCAAAAGACTCATTCTTTGGGAGACTGTTTACATATTATGATGTATGTGTCTTTCGAGAAGATACAAAGAGCATCTCCATG